ATGCTTTGTCTCGCTATCCTTCACCGCCACCTTCAGATCCTTCACTTCGATAAGACTCGTCGATAGTGACGGATCCATAATCAGCACTTTGCCACCCACACCAAATCGAACGAACGCATGTGGACATCGGAATTTCAGTGGCTCTAAAATCGTTGTTAACGTGGTTTCTCTGCGTTGAAGCCGCTGTTCAGATCAAAGTGAATTGATTGTACTCTCATAATAAAAACAATTGAAACAACTTCAAAACGAAACCTCGAAGTGCTGATTCCACACTCAATCGATCGCTGTCCTCTTCTTCGTGCTCACATCGACTCCCATGATCGCTCATTCTAAACAACAAAAAAATTTTCAAAAGTTCGAATTAAACTGTAAACTACGTTAGACTGACCCAATCCATTCTAGAAAATCGCTAATGAACAAGCATTCAATTGAAGGATATCATCAAAATCCAAAACAAAACAGGCAAAATGTCCAGATGAAAATGAAAAATAACGTAACCAATAAGGCGAGAACGAAAAATACCTCTTCCGTAACAAAACATTCCAAATAAACAGAAAAATGACTTGCAACAGCAATGAGATTAGAATAAACGGAACAAAATCAAATGAAAAAACAAAAACAAATTAAATAAATTAACTGCGTATCAACCAAATGAATCCCAAAAGAAACGCCTATATGAATTATGAATAAATGCAACTGTGAAAGAAAATAAAATTCCCATCCGAACAGATAGANATGCCTTTTTAATAGCTCAAAATAAACTCGTTAATTCAGTCGCAGTCGGCTATGTTACCGATCGACTTTACATTAATCAAAATAGACCCGATAGATTGGGTGGCAGAGAGTATACGTGCTTGCATTTTTATCCACTTACAATGGCTCTGATTTTGTTCGAAACAGATTTGCGAATCGCATAGGCATATGCGCAGTTTCACTATCACCAACGCCATCATTCAATGATGATTTTCTCTTCTGACTAAAATTCATACCTTCTGTATCCTTTTTCCACGAACTCAATACAACAAAAGTCACACAAACACATGACAAGTATGACTTGAATAAACTTATCGTTGAACAAAACAAACCAATATTGCATCAATCATAATGTGATGAACAATTTCAATTAAACGCAATCCAGACAACATCAAATGAACTCATAGTCAGATGGTAATCGCCTGCTCTCATCATAAATTTAAAAAGACCAGCAACTCTTCGATGAAAACAAAAAAGGCACAAAAATATACTCTATACGCAATAAAACCAGAACACAACACAACAATTGCTCATTCCAAAATTGCCTCGAATACCTCAACTTCATTGAGACTGAGACTCATTTGTTGACCTCCAAAACCCATCGAATTCCCCACAAATGATAATGGAAGACAAGTTACATTCCTCACTTCCACATCATTAAAGGTAAAAGTAATATTAATCAAAGCCAAACCTGCTATCCGGTGTCTCTCGATCATCACTGAACAACTGTTTTTGTGACATTTCGTACGCTTTTAGTTGATTCGCCTGACTCAACGAACGTTTTGCAATAAACTCATCTTGCGTATGTCTACATATCTAAAATCAATATCTCTCAAATTAAGATTCCTTCTCAGATTCTAAATTAAAACTAAATTATTATAGTGTGCTTCAAATGTTATTTGCACTAAAAATAGCGAATGATAACAAGCAACAACGCCAATAATAATCGCAATATTAACTCAAAAGCTATCTCAACACCAACACCAATGGAAAACCAATCACAATAATAATAACAAAACTAAAACATTCAGTAACAATAACATTAACCAAAACAATAATATCACAGCATTCATAAAAACAAAACAATCGCTATTAACATCAAAAATCAAAATAAATCACAACTTAACCGACCTTCCAAAGTGCCATTTCAGTGGAATCGCCATCACACGTGTAATTGTAATACTCACG